TTTCATCTTCGGCTTGTGGCAAAGTTTGATATTGTCGAACACGTTCTGGTCGTACTTGACCAGTGAATGAGTCATTCGTTTTTCCATTGTATTCGTCAGACTGAAATTGAAATTGGATTTGATCGGTTTTGTAAAATAGTCTGAGCATCTCGAAAGTTGCGGAACCAAAAGTTGAATGTCCAGACACATAACTGGGAAATCCTGGTGTAAAGTTATCACCTGCTCCATCTGCTGGTGAACCAAGTGGTAACCAGTTTGAAATGGCGGCCGTTTTTCTTGTACCTTGTCTGATACCATAGATAGGTCTCCAGAATCCAGAATAGTATTTAGTTTCCCATGCAGCAATGCCAGCATCAGCTATAGCATAATTTATCAATGCAAAGAGACGAGCATTTTCTTCTAGTTTGTTCTTCTTCTGCATTGCAATAACACGAACTACTTGATTGTAGACTCTACGTGGCACACCTATTTTGGGTGCACCATCATAACCCCAGAAGATGGCAATTTCTGTCTGATCTGCTGTTCGAACTTGACTATTACGAGATCCCAATGAAACAATTTGATTATAATCATTGATATACTTTTGTGAATCGAGATATTGAGCACGTGCATGTACATTCTTACCAACAATGTTCGAAGCACGAACTTGTGAACCAGATTTGATAACAAATGGTTTCACATAACCCTATTGAGGACTAAGAAATCCTTGATTTGGATGAGTTGGATCTTGTTGGCGATAGCCTGGTGCCATAATTGGTGTATAGTTAACAACGAGGTCACTATTATTGGAGCGTCGACTTCTTAAAATTGTGGAGGCTAGCAATCTTCCTACTTGAATGCCTCTCAATATTCCATCGTTGTTTGGATTATCATAAGTAATTGTGCTTAGAAAATCATCCCGAGTCTCGTTGAATAATTTTTGTTGTTTCTGATACATGGTAGAGAGAATCTGATAAGCGGCTTCAGTAATAGCTGCATCAATAGCAGCAGCACGTGGTACACGATCTGTCTCAGGCATATCATCAGGTCTAAACATTAGTTTATAGATCTTCTCAAATGCATTCATCGCTTCAAACATTGCTCCATGAATGATGGCAAATGCACGTGATGTTATTGCTGGACCAGGTTGGTCAGGAGTCAAACTAATAGATGTGTCATAATCATTTGCACAAACTTGGAGTGTCACCGAGTTCCAAAAGAGAATGGCATTCCTCCGATCGCCTTTTTAACCGATTAAACAATGATACTGCTTGTTCTTCGAGTTTGTCTTCCCCACCAATGAACATGCCATTTGTAGAAAAACAGAATAGAATAAAAATAAATGTCTGTCGAACTAGATAGTCCATATTATGCTTTTCACAGTTTTAATGATAAAGCAAAACGAATCCTTCACTGTTTATATACGGCCAATATGTAGCTTAAGTCGGAAGTATATTCTACAAGGTATACTTTACCAAAGCAATAATGATCATGCTTCTTTACGTCATATTCTACTACTGAGTTTCATTAAAGATATATTGATAACAAAGAAAAATTTACAAAGACAAAAATATTTCATATGCTATTCTACTCATTTGTCTTAATCATATCTTTTTTTCAACAGTTCCGTTTTTATATTTTGTCATTTGTCATGTTTTTGTACATTTCTTAACTACAAATCAAATATTCTTTTCTTCGAACAAGAAGAAATGGTTTACATGTAATTCACATGTATACAAAAGGCAATTGCAAGTCCTCTTCTAGTTCATCATCATAACATCAGAATAAACTAGAGGTTGTACCAATAATAATTAGAGAGATACATGTGAATTGCATTGAAACAAAGATAATTTTTCAAATCGATTCACTTCACATACTGATTGAGTTGAATTACATATTTGTCTGCTTCCTCGTTTTTTTTTCATTGAAGCAACAGTTATAATTTCTATCCGATACTAACACAATAACATATTATTCTTTTGACTCTTATTAGATAAATGTAGTGAGCAATATGGAAATATATTGTTGTTCAATAAACTTTCGGTAAATGCTATCTGCTTAAATATTTCATTTTGGAAGATCTTGAATTTTGTCGGCACAGAAGACCACTCGTGAAACACATGATGTAATTTCCTTAAAATTACAGTAAATCTTGAACTACGATTTGTTCAATTGAACTTTATAATGTCCTTGGCTATTTTTACTTTGAAACTTATATATGATTCGTTTCCAGATAATCAGTCACTTCATTCGAACTATAATGAAAAAGTGCCAAAAAATGCCAATTCAGTAAGTACTCAGTTTCAGGATTTTCGAGAACAATCGATGAATGCTGAGATAATGAGAATGTAGCCAATCTTGAATACAGAAATTTCGTCTCATGCTAATCTTGGAAATAGTAT